TGTGGAGACATACATTTCTCTTTGGCCAAGATATGCGGAACCACAGGTTTCGCACGGAATCTTGTAAATGGCTTCCTTCTTATCGAGGTGGCTAACCCTGTACGTAGGATACACTAGCTGAGCAGGTAAAATAGCCATCGGCTTGTGCGCCACGTTTATTTGGTACATCCGCAATTGCCTCTCAGCAAATTCAGACACATTCTTTATATAAGGCCGGGTTCACCATGCATTTGTTTTGACGCCTTTGTGAAAGTGTCTAGTTGATTTTTCGTAGATCGGTGTACAAAGTGGTTATGCAGTGCCTTGATACAGGACAGATTCGCACGGGACAAAACACGCACCATCGGAATGTGCTCCTCAGAAGAAGGCGAATAATTTCTTAAGGCCATGCACTCATGCAATACTCGACATCTCGAGTTGGATGGAAGGTACACACATCTGAAAGTAAGATGGAAGAAACGAATTTCAATCGATACTCACAAAAATGGCTGCAGTAAATTAACGCTCGGGTCAGATGACTACGAATTGTCGCAAATTACAGTTGCCAGTTCGACAGAACGATAGTGCTACTATTAGAATGTCCACTATCGACAGACGAAATTCGCAGCTGCCAAATGGTGCTCAAACAAGAAGACTATGCAAATGTGCCAGAGTTTTAGACATTTTAATTGTTCGTGGAAAAACCTTCACACGTCTGACGGCGACGTGGTGATTCACGTCGGAAAATTTACTAATAAGTTTACCTTGTTTTCCCAAATAACCCCTTTTCTTCAAAAACGTAATCTGGTAATACAGAAGGACGTACGTTTTTTCTAACTTTAAAAGATGCACAATACAGCGGAGAGCTTTTTTGATCATGTTCGTGAGTGGCCGTTGAACACGTTACATTACCCCTGTTTTCAGTGACGAAGCCAAAGCCCCATCACGACTCTTGTACTTCCCTGCTTCTGTTAAGTGGGAGTCTGAATTCGTCGCTTCATTGTATGTGGACGCAATTGCCGGTGGTTTGAGCGAGAATGTCTTCAGTTTCCGGATGTATTGACTGATTCATGAAATTTTCCTATAACCTGTCTAGCGATCAATATCACGATTCATCTTAAATATATCTAGAAACCTTTTTGCGAACGTTCATTTTTTCGATAAAAAGGTGTAGATGAGTTCAAAAAAACACACAAAAGGGCCATATTCATATAGATATCAACACGTTCATGTTTTTGGGTTATGCTGTGAAGACACATCTTCTTTTAAAGGCTTTAAAAAACATCTGCAAAACCATTTAGTTCTACGGTTAAAAAACGTGGAAATACTGAATCATATGAAATATTCACCGAAACTTGTAATCCAGCTAAAAGAAAGATCTATAAAAAATTGACGTAGACTGTAAAATTTTATGTTGCCGACAATGCCTGTCGATTATATTTATACGAATTGGTTACCGTAATAATGATTTCTGACGCTTGCAGTATCTACCGATCTTTTACAATGTCTTAAGGAAATTGTTGAAATACTCTTCCTAGCTGACGTTTATTTAAAAAATCGTCTAGAATTTTTCATAATCTTTCCGAATGTTTAATTCACGAGTGAGTGTAAATATTTCGTAAATACAGCTATTTTTCATCAGTAAATTCATATACCGTCACTTCACTTTTAACTGATAGTTGCTGCCAGCAGTGTGTATTGTTCGAGAATATTGAAAGCGGCTATCCGTTACAAATTTACACCTATCTGCTATTTGATCGATCTAATAAGACGAGACAAATTCTAAATGAAGTGGTAACCACTGCCTTCATCAAAACATACAGTTTCCGTAATAATCTTATGATACATATGACTAGTTCGTGATCTTGGAACAATTTGACAATAAGATGATTGCCATTTCGCTTTCACGCATGTCCTCATCAGCCAATCAGCTCGCTGTAAATTGCTCTTAGAAGTAAACCAACGGATACTCCGAACAAAGGATCGTTTTGCAGGTTTTTACGCCACCTTTTACTTTTGCCAAGCATGTAACTAGTTAATTTTTTTGCAATGTGCATCAGAACTTGAAGTAGTCAAACAAACAAGTAGACTATATCGCTACTGAGTAAAAATCAACAATACAACCAGTTCCTTAAATGGGTACACGAAAATTTGTGTCAAAAAAGCATTGTTTACTTGAGCTGTTTAGTAGTTTATTTATCACAGACCATAATGAGTTAGTCCACATAATAATCCTAAAACAAATGTTCTGCAAATTAACTCCTCATGCGTTCAATTCAGAGTTAGCCTTGAAGAAACTGTTTGAAGTCGTCCGTTTATCTAAATTAATCCATACCTTGTCCCCTCTGCCTTTAACGGCAGGGAATTAGAAGATGCAAAAAAATACGGAAGTGTAGAATCGAATATTTTTTTTACATTGACCTTTGCGATAAAGACTACTCAGTCGTTAAGAGCAATAGCGTAAACAAATATTTTTCTTACGTAAACATTGCTCTTAATTTTATCAATGCTAAAGAGTCAATTATCACCTGTAAGGAGAGCTCAATGAGACTCGATTATTTAGCAGGCACGATAACGCCGTTTGCACTTGAAGTATCTTTGAGCCGTGCATACAACACACCACAATACAACGGTACGGCCACAGCAAGAAACATCTGGAGTCGTCTATAGGATCTGGAGTAGTTTCGGGCAAAGCAACTCTGGCGGGGAAACTGGCAGGCTTCCTAAGACACGAATTGCCGCACACGCGGAAGCAGTGCGGCGAAATGATGCCAGTTCTCAAGTTGCGGCTCATTCAACAAGACCCGTCCACACATTCAAATTTGATGAGGCCGAAAGTCTTGCAGGAGGTGACAATCTGGTGAGCCAAGAATAACTTGAGTTATGGTTCACGGTGTCCCAATCCATCAAAAAGTGCAACGATTTGCCCAATCCACATTTGGTACTGAGATCCAATTTGGCCAAAGCATATCGGCGCTCGGGGAAAGGACAGGCCGCCGCCTCACCCTAGACCAATACCGGAGGGCCAGACAACCTGGCAATCATCACGCCCGAGTCCACAACGCGTGATGAAAGGTCAGCAGGTCGGAGCCCGCAAGCCGCTTGACAAATGACCAACACTCAAGCAGGCAATTACGGTTAATTGTCATCGTATGTTTGCTGCAATTACTGTTTTCTATAAATACTGCAAACTCCTGTGCATATGCTACCCTATCTGCTATTGCTCTGTGACTATGTATCTGATGACGAATCCGCGACGGATATCGAAACTTCAGGCGAAGAATAGTACAGTAGTCGCCGGCTATTAAGCCCACCTCGGGCCCAGACCAAATTGGGATTATTAAGCGGCGGGCGCAATAACCGGAGAGTCCTAGTTTTTAAATAGCAAACGCTGGATAGGCACTATACATTACATTCGTACTGTGTTATTTGAAGAGCTTAGTTATGTAAAAGAAAAGAATCCTGTTTGTATGTATTTTACGTAATAACAAAAACAAAACAAAATGATTTGAGACACGTTTAGAAAAACAGTCTAATGACAATTGTTTTGGAGAAAAATTCACTAGCAAGTGCTCTTTGATGTCCTTCTCTAGGCACCAGAAATCTTCGAATTTTGTGACATCCGACACCTGTAGACCGCGTTTCGCACGCAGAGAAATAAGAATCTCACTCTATCCTGTTGGCAAACTGGGCTTT